GGTCAGATGAGACCAAAATTGAGCTCTTTGGCATTAACTCGACTCGCCGTGTTTGGAGGAAGAGAAATGCTGACTATGACCCCAAGAACACCATCCCTACAGTCAAGCACGGAGATGGAAACATTATGCTTTGGGGCTGTTTTTCTGCTAAGGGTACAGGACGACTTGGACGGGGCCATGTACTGTAAAATCTTGGACGAGAACCGCAGCCAGAACACTGAAGATGGGTCATGGATGGGTCTTCCAGCATCATGACAATGACCCGTGGAATGAGGCAGAGGTACGATTGTGTGTTCTGTAATGTACTATGTACTGTAATACTACAAGGTGAGGTTCAGGTATGCCACTTACACGTCCTTACAGAGGCAGTGCTTCCTATGGGTCACAAACAATTCACAATAGTATAAGATATATACATATATATATATATACAGTGGGTACGGAAAGTATTCAGACCCCCTTAAATTTTTCACTCTTTGTTATATTGCAGCCATTTGCTTTTTTTTCTTTTTTTTTTTCATCAGTTACTTGAGAAAGGAAGTGAAAAATATTAATATATTCTAGACTCATAATATGTAAACAAAAATGTTTCAAGCTATTTTTTCCTGTTAATAATTTTTAATTTTATAAAAAAAAAAAAAAGAAAAAAAGAAATCAGAACAATAATCAAACAAAATTAAAATAAAAAGGCTTGAAATATTTCTCTTTACATGTAATAAATATACTATTTATGAAAGTTTCACTTTTTGATTTAAATTTTGAAAGGAAAAAAAAATCCACGATATTCACATTTTTGAAGATGCTCCTGTATGTAAACAAGTGAATGTTCTTCTACTGATGATAAATATTGTCTTTAAGTTCATTACTGATACAGTATGGTATTTATTTATTTATTTAAAATTGGTTATCCTTGCAGAAACAATGTGTTGAAATCAAATGACATCTTGCATCTGTCCACAAACCAGCTGTTAACGCTTTTCTAAATAACTTTGTGCAAAAACAACTTCCTCAAATCTGGATTGGTGGTTATAATGCAACAGATCAGGTATCAGTACAACAGATCATATTGTACAACTCGGTATTAAACTAGTGCTAATATTGTTGTAATACACCACCACATATACACTGGTTTAACAACAAATAACAAATTGTTAAATAATGTTGGTTAGAGTTTATTTTTTAAGGTATAGCCTACTTGTTACAGTGTAATCACAAGTAAGTACTGACTAATATTATTTACTCAACAACACATAGCCTACTTACTTTAGGGTTAGTGTTATTATTTTTTAAATGTAATACTTATTGTAATTAATGGGGTTATTATTTGATATTTCCATTGATTAGATGTACATTTCAGACTTTGTTTTCTGAGGTTAACTGAGTGAAATCATTACATTTGTATTCAGTGTTGCTCTTATGACATACCTTCAATTCAAATATGGACAATATGTAAATATTCATATGCCTGTATAAAAGTTCTGCCATGTATGTCTGTCATCAGTTATTCAATTATTCAACTAAATTGGCAACAACCAAACTAGCAAATGTTACAATATAAAAGTAAATCCACATTTTTCTTGGGGCATCTTCCCTATCTTACCGCAATTATACATAATGTACTGTTATATACTATTATAGTAAATTCACATGTAACAAGGACACTGTAAAATAAAGTATATTTGCGTAAAAGTATTTGCAAAATGTAAATATGTATATTTATAAGTACGAGAGAACCATTATACTGTATGTTAATTCAGTAATTTAAATGCTGTACTTTAGAAAGCTGCCTGGACTTGAGTGATGGATCAAAGTTTGATTAGACTAACTGGAATACTAAGCCAGTTGTCGCAAAAAACGATAAAAGATGTGTGCTGGCAGCAGCCAACAAAGCTAATATATATACATATGTTGTTAACATCTTACACCAACTGTACCAAAAGAGATTTAAAACCTTGCACATTGTGTACTTTTTCTGATTGCACTAAAGCATATTTTGCCATGTCATTTCCTACATAATGCATCCGTGAAATTTCACAGGTACTCTCCGCTGGAGAGATGACCTTTGCACTACTCGTCTCTATTTTGTCTGTTACAAGATGGCTGTCAAAGCGAAAATCAACTGAGCTATATTCTAATATCTTATATCTGCTTCAGAACTCCAAACTGCTCCAAATAACAAAGTGTAACAAACAAAGCTTTCCTTTGAATTTTTAAATCCTTCTTGCAAAAATAAAATATAAACATCTTTCTTTCTTTGTTTCCATCATACAATGATCATCTACACAACTCTGCTGTCTACTTGAAAGCAAACCATACCATGATGCAGTTACGGCACCAACCAGCAGAGGGTGCTGCTAATGTGTGTTGCGTGAGAGTGACCATAACAGAGTACTTTAAAAAAAAAAATTATTTGACTTTCATATTGTGTTAACTGGGTACAAAAGGCGCAGGTACCGAAAGCAGAGCAAACTGGATGATGCACAGAACTTTGCATCAGCTAAATATTAGTGTGTGTGGTAAAATACAAAACATCAAACAATGTGAAATATAAAAATGGCAATAGCATCAAATAAATATGAAAGCAGCGTTTACAATACATGACATCATATATTAAAATATGTATTTATATTGGATGTTGAGTATTGTTACATTTACAGCAAATCATGAAATTACCCACTCATCATCTTTCAGATGGCAAACGTTTTCCTCCCTGATAAAGCAAAGTGTACCAGAATACAATGCCGTTTCAAACTCAATAATGGGCTTGCAAAAACATTTTCCATCACATTCAAAAGTTCACTTTCTCACGATCTCTGTAGCCTATCTGTTGCTGGTGCTATTTGAGAGTATGAATGTCGTTCTCAAAATTAAGACAGCGTAGTGTATAAACCTATAAATGCTGCTGGAAAAAAAGACCATCTGATATTTAAAAGGCAAACTGTGTCACAATCAACTGCACATTATATAAGAGTTTAAGATATGCATGTGGACCATAAAAACATGTTTGTACAATTTCAAGTACATAAATTAAAACTTATGTATTTACATACATTTCAATTCTCTTAAAAAATAGGTCTGCGATATATTTTTGACAAAGAAGTCTCAATTGAGTTTCATATGTCTGTTAATACTGATTTTAAGTATTTTGATAAAACAAGACAAACGGATCCAAAGAAATCAAAATGTTGCACATTATCTGAACATAAATGTCCATGTCCCCCATCTCATTTAAACACAGCTTCTGCTGACCACCAGTCAATAGGTGCTCGAGGTCATGTGATCCGTCTGGGTCTGTCGATTGGGTATCAGTTCCTCGCTTCTGGGCAATTGCGTCTGCGTAGTTTGCTACACTGCCCGTGCTTGAAGATAAGAACAAAACAATACTTTGATTGGTTGGGACCCTTGAGAATTGTAAACCAGTCATGGGGGAAGCAGAGGTAGTGTTAGGAAATTACATCATGAGTATCGCTGTTCGGCCTCTGCCTAATTGATACAGGTGGGAGAGGTTTGCCATAGAAATCTGCCAATGAAAGAGAGTCATGGGAAAAAAAAAAGATTTAGGTCAGCAATGTCCTTTTTTTTTTAAATCAAGGATCAGTTAACTAAATACTACAAGAGTACACTACATCATTAAATTCATAGATCAAAATGACATACTGCCTGGTTTAACATTCAGAAGAGGACACAGAACATTACATGCAGCATTCAGAATGTCCAAAATGTTTCCTGTAAGCATCAGGAATCAAATAACACACATTAGTCACAGCGCAGTAAGTGAGGTGTTAAGGAGATCATGCTAGTAGCATTTATTAGGCACAATATTAAGGCGGATGGTTGTGGTATTTCTGTTGACAGATGATTGTATAGGAAGGATGTGGCTGAAGCTTGCTGTGTGGATGGAGAGAAAAAAAAAACTTTAAGAACAGAATTATGGGAGATGATTACATGGTTAGGAAACGGAATGGGGGGAAAAAAGAACGTTAGTGATGTGCATGCTTGTCGACATGCCGGACAGGGAACAGATGCAATGAACCAGCCATTACCAGAATGTCTTGTATCTCCAAGAGGCTCAAGTTTGGGTAGCCTAGAAGCTTTAGGAGTAGCCCATCCAACTAAAACAGAAAAAAGAAGGGATTAGCTGTTAGAGTCATTAATATGAAGCAACAAAAGGGAAAAACTAGGACAAATCAGTGGTTAAAATGAGGCATTTTGCAAACATTTGACTACAAAAATCCAACAGCAAATGATAGAAAAAAGCTTCTTTGACTTTCCTGAATTCTTGTGCTACAGAACACATACACCACTGCAATGTGTTTACAGAAAGCCTGCAGTTTACTATACTGCGTAATTAATTAATCTGTTGATTTAATTAGGTTAAATTAAGTCTTAATAATATATCAGAAAAAAAAGTTGCAAAATGCAAATAGATGTAGAAAGTTCCACATAGGCATGGGCCGATTACCGGTTTCAATGTATACTGCGATTTGAAAATGTCACCGTTTCAAAACCACTAATATTTTCCGTTATACCGTTCTTGCGGCATGCGCTGTTTTTCATGTCTCCTCAAAGACTGAAAGTGTAGGAATCAACAATAATCATTTAACACTCATAAAAACAATAAGCACACCGAATGTGCGAAAGTGAATGTGGTGCGAGTGCGTGCATGTGTAGTAGTGAGTGAAATGAGTATGTGTAATGGCGGCAGAGAGGTACTGACCAAGTTTGCAGTCATGACGAAAACTGGAGAGTGTAGCGGGATTTTCAGACACCAGGACAGGTGGATGAGCAGCCGATACTTGTCTTCAGAACAACTTTAAGTGCAGACGATCTGGCAGTGCCACGTTTAAAAGTAATTTGGAACTTCACAACGCACCAGACATCACTCACAAGAAAAGTAAACGTTTGAACAAACAGCCATCTTTCCACCTCGCAGGGTTCTCCAAACAATCACTCCCACACTACTGCAAACTTTTACAGATGACGCAAAAACTCTCAGGTATGACTCACTTCCTTATATCCTCTTTCCTTCCGCTGATAATTGAAATGCTCCACCCCAAACACACAAAGTGAGAAAAAAAAAATGAAAGTAACCTGAAAGGATGTTGTGGCACAACGTTTTCACTGCCACAAACACAAACAAAGATTTTGAACTCAAACCGTTGCAGTCTGTCAGTCTTATAATGGAGGTGAATGGGAATCACGGCTTTGGGAGTCAAAAAAACACACAAACAAAACCAAATTAAACCTTGCGGCTCGTGACAATATATTGATGTGTAAAGACACAAAATGATCGGTCTGTGCAAGAAACTGAACAGTATTTATATAGTTTTTTACCTCTGATTTACTGTCTGTCCTGAGCGCGTCCTCCTGAGCTCGTTCTCAACAGCCGGCGCCTGACACGTCTTCTTCTTCTTGCTTCACGGCGGATAGCAGACT